TTTATCGAGACAAAACGTCCACTAATGTCCATAATTATGTGCTCTGTGTCGTCGCAAACCTGTGTATTAATCGCATAGCTCGACTATCGCGAATGTGATCTCGTCAAAGACTGTGATAAAATCGTAGTCTGCAGGAATGAAGTACAACGAACAATAACGAATAGTTATTGATGATCAGGTACAATAGGCCCACCTGTTGAGAGAAATTAAAGTCGTCTGGCGCTTTGTAAAATTGCTTCCGTAGTCACCCGTAGTGTAATAAAATCCTTAATCGAGAACAATCGTTATCGACAATCATATTACGATCGCTATATACCTAATCAATCGCGATAAAATTTATACGATAGGTATTACAAATGAAAGTTATTGCTCACGAACAGGAAGTTTGTGAAATTACGAACGTTTTAGTAAAATAAGTTTCTTATATTCTTTTTTTTTCTATTTATTATTAATAGTGAAACATAAAACATCTGATGTATCATTTAAAAAAGCAAACAAAATTCAGATAGTTAAGATTTGTTGGAAATTTCTAAGGTATTAATTGATCGAAGATCATTAATTAATAAGATAAATTTAAAATTAAATTAAATTTACGGTTGTCTTATTGTCAACACAGCAAAAAAATGAGTTTGTTCAGATTATCTAATTATCTCACCATTTTCCAATTATAGCCAGAGTTTTCTTGTCCGTATTAACATTAATGTCTCTTTGCATGTATGAAAGATCTATCCTTGTACAAAGTAACAAGCAGGAAATCGGAGCCGTTTGAAGTATTTAATTCGCAAGCGTACATAATTAACAAGAAATGAAAATAAAAGGGCATTTTTATTGTTAAAATAAGTCACATCGATCCAAAATCATAAATCTCTACGTTCAATTAATCGTTACGTACTAGTCTAACAATGCATTGTCTTTGCATTGAAGAATGAAAAATCGTGCAATCCGATTTTCTGTAATCTTCTCTCACAGTATCAGCTAAGGTGATATATACAAGCGATTTCACGAAAAATCTCATAACTGATAATTTCGTGTTTCTATTTAAAATGCATAGCTAACGTGAAAGAAATTGCGAGAGAAACACACTGACAAGCATACATATGTGTTACTTGTGTTTCACATGATGTAACTATATGTTTGACGTTTGAGCGTTTTTTTCATTAGACATTAATAAAGCGAAAGTCAGCAGACACCTATCTTTGCTCAAAAAAGAATTGAAACGACGAATTAGATGCATATTAACTGAGAATAAAATATTATCATTTTTGTCATGTTGTTACTATGTAATATTACAGTATTAAATGTTATTAAATGTTACTATTTCTTTCAAATACAAAATATGTAATGGACATTACATATAATATGGGATAAAAATATATAATATAGAAAAATTTAATATTACATCATAACTTTTATATCAAGAATATATAAAATAATATCCTTTTATAATACTAATATAATACTATTTCTCTTATTGTTTTTAATACATTTTATATCAAAAGAGAAAGTAAAAGATAGCTATTTTTAATATGTTTATTGACAATGTGACTATAAATTATTTTAATTAAACTGATTGGCATAGTTATGTTTACAAACTAAATCGCTCTCGCATTACATAATGCTGAAACAAATTTTTGCGTATCTGTGCTGTGTAAAATTAGACAGATTGGCACGTGAGAAGTAGACAGAGGTGAGAGGAAAGAGAAACAATCTTCGACCTTGCCCAAGGAATTATAATTCAAAATTAGCTTTTATTCCTTACGTTTCGTTACGTTACAATAATGTATTTCTCACTGTATATAAAAACAATTTATATAAAAAGTCTCGATATATTTAATTATATATAAATATCATCATTATTCGATCGTTAGTCTATGTCTTTTTTTATGTTCGGCAAGCTTTATTAGTTAAGTACCCCTTTGCACCAACAGCCTTGATTATTCACTTTAATTAGTAATTGCCTGTTTCTATTTATATCAAAATTCCAAGTACAGTATAGATCCGAAAAAATATGTCTTTTACAGTTGTAATTATGACATACATGGAAATAATTTGATTTAATCATATAAATATCTATATACCAATAATAAAGCTAAGTTTGTACATTTATTTGTTTGAAACGGCAATTAAAAACGGCTGTATAAAATATGGATACTTAGCTCTCTACTAATCAAATAAGAATATATAATTTCTGGCAGTGTCTTAGAAGTATATATAAACTTTTAAGTTTATACACGTATACATAAATTTCAGGCACTACATGAAATCACTAAATATAATATGATAAATTTTCTTATTATAAAAGATGAAAAATATAGTTAAATATTATTAGAATATAATTCGGCATTGGAAACATTTAGTTTCAAATTAACTCCAATCAGTTAAGCTGCTAAAATTTTATAAAATATCGCTTAGAATTATTAAATAAAACAGTAATTGACAATTTTACAAAAATCATATTTTATCCTTCCGTTATGTTGAGCACAAAAATGTCTTATTATTTACGTTAGTTAAGATTCTTATCAAATAATGCGTAGCATTGCGAGGTGAGATAAAGCAATGTACAAGATCCAAACTGGATTAATGTACTTGTAGTAAATAATCTAGATACTATGTTCTGACGATGATGCTGCTGCCAATGATTAATAGCGTTCATTGCTCAGACTGACGCCCTTTCCTGTCCATCTTTCTTTCAAATCTACCTTCAGCTCCAGGTCTCTCAACGCGGCTTTCGCGTTATCCTCCAATTTGGGGCCATGTAAACGTATCGCATCTCGTAGTACTTCCTCAACGCCATGCATCAAGAACTCCTTAGATTCAGATTTGTTTCGCACCGACATATTTCTAATTGCCCAAGAGGCTTGTTTTAAAACGTTTACATTATTAGGATAAGCCTTCATAGCATCTACGATCACTTGGGCCGCACCGCAATCATAGAACACACCAGCATTTGAAGTGCTTCGTAAAGATAACGCCGATATGCAACTCAATCCCGCAGTTACGACGTTCTCCGATCTCTGTTAAATATTAAATTTTAGTGCAAACATATTAAAAAAAAATCTTTTCACTTAGTTAATAAAAAATTTTTAATATTTTTAAGAACAATTATATTTTAACAACAATTTTATTGTAAAAAATATTGCTTTTTGTCGCATGTATACTTACTTTCATTCTACTGATAGCGGATACGATTAAAGGGGCGCATCCGGAAGTGATGATATGAGACTTCACGTTGTCGTTGCCACCGAGCGCTTTGAGCAACTTTAAAGCCTGCCAATTCAATTTTTCAGAGTCTGGATATTCGGTCATTATGTCCAAAATGAATTTCAATCCCCCGGCATCTTCTACTTCCTGACAAAATTCATTTCGGACAACCAATGCGGCCAGGGTGATCATTAGGTCGCCTATGACCTTCGTGTCTCTTTTAAATCCTGTTGGCAAATGTATTTCATCACAATGCGAAATTGCAGTAAAATGCATACATTAATTAAGCACGGTAGAATATAAAATAGCAATACAAAATAATATCTATATTCTAAATAAGCCTAATGCTAATTTCATAAATTATCATTTAACGATAATTATTTATCAAAAGTGATTCAGGTTAATTGTAAAGCTATTTGAATATAATTTACTTTTCAATAATCCCGTGATGACATCGAGAGCACTCTTTGCCATGATAGTTGCATGTTCATGTGCCTTGCCGTATTCGTGCCTAATATCATCGTCCAGAACCAACGCTCTAATTACCGAGCATGCATCCTTGATCTCTTGCGCGCCCACATCCGCGCGCACTAATATCTTCTTGAGTTTCTCAAAGATATTGGTGTCGAAAATCTTTTGCCTATTCAACTCGTGTTTTATGCAGCACTCTCGTATCCAACCCAACAGGCATTGTAACGTTGCCGCATCGCAATGTCTTTCTAAAATCCTGACAAACAAAATTTTACAAGTTACTTTGAGACAATAAAGATGAATGCTAAAAGTACATGGTTCTTGTGATCTTAATCTCTCGCCTTAAATAATAATTCTTATAATTAGAAGTATCAATTTTTCCTTATATCAATTTTCTTCGAATTATTATAAATTTATGCATCAATTTTCAATCAAATTTATACAATATGATTCTTGTGAAAAAAAAATCAAATAATTATTCAGATCTACATTTAATAAATAACATTACAAAGGACAACAAGAGACGTATTAACTTTTGTATCACCCAATAAAAGTAGTTTCTTTGCCATTAAAAAATTTTGTTCTTGATTTTTATATCAGCTTCAGAGTTAATAGATAGTCGTCAGAGGAAAAATAATCAGAATCTAATTCAAATACACCGTTTCCTTTTTTTCTAAATCAATTTTCTACGGGATAATTCTTTACTCTATCTGCAACGCGATTCCTTCGTCGTCCAACAGATCCGGATAACCGGACATTAACGAGGTGATTGTCTCCAGCGTCGATTTAAGTATCGCGTGGTCCTTCTGGCAATCTTTCAGGAGGTCGATCAGTACGTTGTAACATTTGCGTTTGCCCGCGTAAACCCTGTGTTCGATGTCCTTATCCAACTCGGTTCGCAGTTCTTGCAACGTTTCCGGCACGCATTCGTAACTCTTGTCGTTCACGGCGCACGTTAGTCGTTCCAGGCACGTCACTATCTGCTTATATTTATCCTCGAGAACTGATTCGGTGACGATGTTGCTCAGATCTATCCCCTGCGCGCAAATAAACGCTATTCGTAAAAATTATTAGGTCGCGATGATCATGCGAGGAGCATGCGTTTCTTTCAAACGCGAGCACTTCTCCTTGACTTATATCTTACAAATATTTAATCTTTAAATACCTTTACGGTATAATTAATGTTATTTCTAAGAGGGTTTTCTTGCGGCAGTTGTTTATTCGCAATAAAGTAGAAACGATGTGTGAATGACGACAAAATTTTTCGCATTTTTTTTTACGTGAATTTAATTTTTCCTTTCCTTAAGGGAAAAGATTCTTTTTTCCGAACAGCATCGAAAATGTTACGACACAAGAAACGGATCGATCTCTTAAGATAGACAATAGTGACACAAGTGCTCCGAAACTAAAACCGTCAAGAAATGCGGCAGGAGCGCGTAACAGATTTTATTTTTGCACCGCAGGTGCATCTTTCAATTAAGCTCTAAAACTTTGCTTGTAATAGCGATATAACAACAATTATCGGATATTATTTATTATTAGTCGAAAGAACATTAAATAAGAACGTTGAAAAATGTATCATTATTAATTACAAAATTAAACCTTAAATTTTGAAAAATAAGATAATGATACAGTGATGAAATAACGACAAGATTATTTAACGATAAATAATATTCAAGATATCAATTTATATCCGTAATATTTTTTATTTCACGCAATATTGCGTTTCATATTTATTTCTAACGACAACGCGGAAAATTCTTGATGACCTGTTCGAGCCTGACTCATATATAGTCGAGTTCCTAAGAAACAAAACTTTCGATTAATCACTAACCGCTATCTTTTTGACATTTTCATTTAAATGTACATGTTGATTGCGTATAAATTCTATTTAAAGCCTCCTAACGTTTTAAATAATTTCGAACCTTTTATTCGCGATCGTGATAAAATAAAAATGAAAACAATAGTTCTCGTCACGTGCGCTGTGAAACAAAACGGCGCACTTTCTCTTTGTGTGTTTATAAATAAATAAGTTACAAATATATCTATATTAATTATATAATTAATTAATATGTTAATAAATATATTGAAAAATCAATATATTAGACAAAATGAACATACGTGTATATATCATTTACATATTAATTTAAATTTTTAGAAAAGGATCTAAAGTTTTCCTGAAATGTCCGTGACTCAAAACCTCGTTCTCTCTTTCTTTGAACAAAGGTGAAAATTTCCAGCGGCCTGGCGGCTGGAATGAGTCACTTGATCGCACGCGTGAGGAGCAAAAAGGATATATCTTTCACTGATCGGCAAGCGGTGTAAACAAAGGGACGCAGTACGCAGTGAGTACCTTCATTTCGTAGCACCTGACAGCGTCCTCGATCGCCTCCTCCTCGGTTAAACCGAGGCCCTCCATCAACTCCCTGACCTCCTCGTCGTACGCCTCCTGGGTAATCGTCGTGCTCATGATAACGCGGGTTTCTCTCGCCGGTGCTCCGTTTTTCTATATAAGGAAATGAACGCCGTGCAAGTCGCGCGCGAGCGAGGCGAGCGTGTGCCGAGCGTACACGCCGTACACTCAACACTCAACTGACTCGTCCATGTGATAAGCGATAGCAAAGAGAGAGCGGGAGAGCGGGACCTGTCAACGCGTCCGCGCGTTCGCAAACACCACCCGGCTGTATCCTCCTCGTGCAAAAAGTTCGAACGTTCCTGTAATGAGTTCTCGAACGCGACGATTTTACAAAAGTGCTCTCGTTCTCCGCACGCATATAATTACGACGATTGTCAGCGAGAATAAGAAAGGACTGGGAAAAAATGAACGAATTTACCGTCTTAATTTTTATTTTACGTACGTTTTAATTTTTAAGATTTAATATAATTTCTATTTTTTACATAATATATTTCTAATTTTGTATTACTATAAAAAAAAAGAAAAAAAAAAAAAACGCCGTGCGGAAAAAAAATGGAGAAACAACGTTGCGAAGGAGCGCAGATGGAACGAACCGACTTAAAGCCTTGTGTCCACAATGCTAGAACTGCGTCCGAGTTTCGGTTCAAGCCAATCAACTTGCAGCTCTTACAGAAAAGTAGCAGTTTTATTGGCTTAAACCGAAACTTGGACACAGTTCTTGCATCATGGACACCGGGCTTAAGCCAATGAAACTGCTGCTTTTCTGTAAGAGCTGCAAGTTGATTGGCTTAAACCGAAACTCGGACGCAGTTCTAGCATCGTGGACACAAGGCTTAACAGGTTTGTTCTCAGTAGCTGAACTCCTTTGCACTTTTTCTCTTTTCCCTCATCTCCAATTGTTTCGTCGTATGGTTGAGTTTCCACTGAGCGCGTCACGCGTCGCGTCATCCGAATTAACCAATCAAAATATCCCATTTTATAACATTATTTGTCATGTAATATACGCCTATTTTATTTTAAGTGCCGAAAGTACAAGCCACGGCCACAAAAAGCACGCGGAGGAACAAACCTGCCAATAAATAAAGAATAAGGGCCGGTATCACAAGGTTTGTTCGCGTCGCATGCCCCACCATGCTCCTAATCACTCCAACGCACTCCAAAAATTCATCTGCTCCAATCGCCACCTTTTATCCGTGATCCAAGTGCTCTTGGTGTTTATTGGAGTATGCAACGCAAACAAACCTACAGTCTCCGAAACGTGATCCTCCGATTAAACTCACTCTGCATCTCTTTCTAACTGGAGCACACACTTCTGCACAACGCATAATGCGTAAGCATAAGAAAATTGATTGGTCTATTTCCTTAAGGCTATTGCACCGATTGCACGTAACAAAGTTTTAGTTGTAATCGTAAGGCCGTAAGAAAATAGACCAATCGCAGTCGATTATTCTTCTCGCGCTTGAAGAATAATCGAAGGTGATTGGTCTATTTTCTTACGGCCTACGATTAAAACTAAAACTTTGTTACGTGCAATGGCCTTTAAGCCCATTCTACAATAGCCGTAAAGTATGCGTTAAGACGTAAGCAGTAAGCTATTCACTAATGCCGGGATTACGATGACTTTAACGTAACGGGACGCGAAGTAACTTAAAACCTAAACACATTGTTTTTATATGCGTTACGTAAAGTCGATCGTAATCAGCCGCATATAAAAACAATGTGTTTAGGTTTTACGTTACTTCGCGTCCTGTCGCGTCCCGTTTATGTTAAGTTCATCGTAATTCCGGCATAATAGGATTTTTACAATCCAAGAATGATCGACTGTAGTTGGTCAATTTTTACTGCTTACGTCTTAAAACATACTTTTACGGCTATTGTAGAATGGGCTTTATGCACATGTGTGTGGACCAATCAATTTTCTTATGCTTACGCATTATGCGTTGTGCAGAAGTGTGTGCTCTCCGCTAAAGAAATAAGAAATAAGAGAATGTCGCATCTCACTTGTACACGTATGTACATTATAAAGTGAGATGCAGCATGCCTTATTCCTTATTCCTTTATCTTATTCCTTATTTTCCTCATTGTGTCTGAGCCCTAATTCATAATGAATATCAGTAACCAAACGATGTTATTAATTATAATGTCCATTTCAAAAAGCTGCGTTTGAAATTGCCGGGCCAGCAACTCTCGAACGAGTGATCGCGCGCATCGTCGATCTCGAAAATCGAACGTGTTGCGATGCGACTTCAGCTACCTAGGCTCTGGCCTAACCGTGTTCGTTCGTGGTGTCGCGACACGGCCGACGATATTATTATTGTGTCCCCCCTCCCTTCACCCCTCGTGGTTGATACCCGACGCGAGTTCCCGGCATATGCGGCTAACGGAGACGGTCCGAGAGGAGAGAGAGGAGTTCCAAGCGTCGTCGTCGTCATCATCGTCGTCATCGTCGTCATCGTCGTCGCCGCCGTCGTCTTCGTAGCTGTCGCCCTCGCGCGCCGCCGCTCCCCTTCTCCGCCGATCTCCGAGCGAGGTGTCCGCGCCGCGAGAATTCTTCGTCGCCGAGAGGAGTCCCGTTGGCCGAGGTGTAGCGCATCCGCCTGTCCTCGCAGCTCCCGTTTTTTTTTCTTCGCCTTTCGCTCGACGAGCGCGACGTCAAAAGCAAGGTAAGCGTCCCTCCCGGGGGGGGCCCCACACGCTCGGCACGTGAACTCGTATTCGCGTCGTCCCCGTCGTGACGCGCGGTCTCACGCGTGCACGCCGTGCACATATTCTCCCTCGGTGACAGGATACCTGACGGATATTCCACAGTGTTGTTGCTCCGAGCTGACGAAGGACGTCGACGGAATTCCGTATCGCTGGATTCTGGATCCTACAAACGTGAAATCGTTTTGTAACATCATATCTTGTAATAGGAAGCCTTCTGCGTCTTGCACGAAAAAAATTAGCTTGTTTAAACTTCCACCTGCTTGAATTCTGTGAGCCTTGTGGACGCTGAAAGACTTGTTACTTTTTCTGGTATATAATATCTTTAATCTCGTGCATAGCTTCTTAGCAAGTGTTTTCTTAGAGCGATTTAACCAACCTGAGTCTCTTTGACGTAGGTCTGAGAAGTAATAGCGGAGATTTTTCAACCAAGTTGTTCTCCGAGATGTGATTACAAAATTTCTCAGTTGTAAACAATGCTCTTGTTGGTCAATTTGTAGTGATTAGAAGCGTTGATTTCTTTATTGCTTGTACAAACTTGAACAACAAAATGTTTGCCTTATCTCGATATGATATAATATGTAAAATCTGTTTAGAAGCATTAAATTAATTCAATATATTTTGATTTTTTAATATTTACATAAAAAATTGATTTGTATTGAGAAAATACAAATTGGTTTAAATATTTTCAGATTATCTAAGTATCTAGTAGTAGATATATTTTCTAATTTAAAATGCTTTCATCAATTTAAAGAAAAAATACTCTAAATTCAAGCTGTTAGAATATCAGGATTAAAGACAAGAAATTATATTTGTCTATTATTAGTTAATTGCAATATGAAAAAAATTGTTCTTTGACTCAAATGTAATGTTATGTCGTTTGTGTATTTCAGAGACTACAGTTTGTAAGCTGGTCGCAGTATCTTGGATATGAAACGTAAAAATAGCGAAATAAAGGAAGACCTACACTCGAAGAGTGGATGTCCGCGGAAGAAATGCAAAGGAGAATGATAACGATTATAATGCATCGCATCGTCATGCATGAATAGTTATTATAGTGTTCATATTACCTTATCGTAGAGGAGTTCGGCATATTGGATGAACCAACGTTGTCAGGACAACATTGTCGTACTGCATCTTACGTGCATATTTTATGTACAGCGATAGAGATAATTTTTAAAAGGATATAACATTGCTTAAGGAGTAGCTTTTTTAACAAAGAGTAAATCATTATTTTTAATAATTAGAAGTAAACGTGTGAGAATCAAATCGTATGTGCCCAATAAGAAGAAGATAAGTTATATTGACGATTGCACAAAGATCGGCTTTCCTAAATAATGCTCAAACAGCCGCACATAATCGGAAATTAAAGAAGAGCCTCTTCTCTCTGATACAATTCAAGCGAAGGGATAGAAGTAATGCTTTGACTCTCTCTGAAGAGGATGCGTAAGAACCGAGAAAGATTATGTCCTGTGATTGTAGTATCCCACAAGATTCTTTATGTTCGCTGCATGCCATGTGTGACTGATAAACGACTAAGCTCGCGTACGCTTTTTTATGGAGACGACGATCTGCTGATGTGATTGTTTCCTTTGCGAGTACCTACTAACGCGCTACTTCCGAGAAGATTGTGTGTCGTCCCGTGCGACTCGAGAAGCAAGCAAGAAGACTTTGTACCTGGTACGAACATTTATTATACTAATCGGCTAGAGATATATGCAAATGAAATTTTGGTATCATGTCTGACGGCATTCTTTTAAATAGTCATTCATTTCCATAATTTATGCAATTTATATTTGTATGATTTTGTGTTCAGACACGGAGGGTACAACCGACGAAGTCCTAATGCTGAAAGGAAGCTTGTCGCCGTATCTCGACACTCACAATGAAGAAGAGTCGTCATATGTAACGCTCAGCAATGGGCCGTACGGTAAATATTAGTACTATTGTACTTATACAATGTCAAACATTACTTTCATAGCTTACTGTATTAAATTTCATAGCTACTGTATTAAATTTTTGGGAATCGGGTCGTTGTCGATGGAGATGATCGTAGGAGAGGAATGCATGATTGTATGAAATGATTTTGATGTATGTTTGGGGACACATCCTCCACATACATCAAAATTATTTCATCCAATTATCCACTCCTCTGCGAGTTGCAATGGCGAGACTCCACTAGTATGTGCCCAAATTCGCTTTTGTTGGTAGTATCGTCCGACGAGATCGTCGATGAGGGCTATGAGTATCGTTATCGAATTTGTTTATATATTTTAGTCGACGCGGTCAGGCGCTCGCGAGAAAGTGCGTTTGCCCGCGCGCGGCTAATTAGTGTGGTACCATCTTGGTAGGGGCACACGCGGCCACTACAGATTAATTTGTTCGTCACTTCCTTGTTACAGCGTATGTAGCGGATTCCATGAGCACGGAACACAACTCGTATAATCACGTCCTCGTAGATGCATATTTTGTAACGCCCATTCTTTGCAAGCACTGTAAGTACATCGCTAATTACAGTTTATGTAGTTTATTATATAAATTAAGCTAGTATTAACGTAGAAGCATTATTAAAATAATTTTTCTCAGTCTGTTATCTATCCTTCTGCTCTTGCCGTTTATTTAGTTGCTATAATGAAAGTGCGATTGAGCTATTTACTTTATATTGGATAATTATAATCGTGATTTAGAAAAATCTTATCTTGTTGTAAATGTATACAGATATTCATATACATAATCTTGTTTCGCAGGTGAAGATTATATCTGGGGGACCGGAAAAGTGGGAGTCAAATGCAAAGGTAAGGCGTTTCATTACAATCATATAATTAGATGTAAAATGTTAAAGCTTCGTTTTTTTTTCGTTTTCTTATTCGTGTCAGACATATTGTATTTCGTATGGCGCATAGTGACGCATCTTTGACCCGCTCTAGCGGTATATTTGCATGATAAGTCCGAAAATAGATCAAATTTTTCCACGCCGAAAATAGCCTTCAGCAAATGTTATGAAGGACATGTATTCGGTATTCGCACGTGGGTGGGTAAATAAAGAAAGTATCTATGATCGTATGTACTTATATTACTTATAATATCTCAGTAATCGTCCAAGCTACATCGTCGACGATTTGTATCGTTAATTAAACGTCACGTTATAGATAAATGTATACGACCTTGGAAGGATTTTAAATGGAAGATATTTCCATGTCAACAGAAGTCGCGAGATATTGAAAAACGCGAGATGAGAATTGTCATTTCCGATTAAGAGGGAAATATTTATCATTTTCGTCGCTTATCGTGCGACAGTATTATCCTTGCTGTCTACGGCGAGGATGCCTTCCATGGAAATATGTAACATTGTGACACTTCTAAGGCAGGTCGGGCAGGTCGTCGTCGCAGTCATCCGGGTGAACATCCGTTAGATCGCGGCTACACCCCTTTCGCCGGGATCCGCGCGTGTTGATCATCGATCCTCGCGTGGATCACCGTCGAGGGCGGCACCGTAGCATAGTAACACGCCGGCGACCCGCGCCGATTTCAAGAGCGGCGCGCTATCGTGTCCCCCTTCACCTTCACCGCCGCCGCCTCCATCACCACCACTGCCGCGCCGGTTTTTCTCCCGAAACTCCGCGGCCTTCTCCGGCCTCCCTGATCCCGCCAATCCCTCTTCGCGACATCGTACGAGCCAGGACCGTATCTAATCGGGGCAACGGTTTCCGACTCCGATATCACAGGTATCGCTCTGCCTTTTAATCCCGGCTCGGCTAACACGATTGCTGTACGCCGTTTTGGTCGAAAAATCGAAGTCAGTATGGTTTCTTAAGCACGGCACAACGATAACTGTAATGTAAAGTTTACCGCACAGAGAGAATTTTCTCTTGAAATATTACCCTGAAATCATGATAGTTGTGGGACAACATGTACCACCAAGAATTTTATGCGAACTATTCTGATTAATATCTACCATAATAAAAAGTATTAATATCTATTACATTAAAATATAAAATATGTTTGATTAATTTTACTAAAATATATCTAGGAAATTTCAATAATTTTTCAAAATTTACCAATCTGCTTGGTAATTTTTATCACGTTGTTTGTAAAATGTCTTTTGTATATTTTAAAAAATCCTTGGTTGCCAAATTGTCCCAAGTTTGTACTGAATTTAAGGGTAAAATATAACAAAAAATTCTCTCCGTGCGTGTAAGGAAGGAAAAGTCGAAATACAAATATATGGAGATGGATGCGTAAGAAATATGTAATTCGATGATATCATGGAAAGTGTAGCTATATTTGGATGTTTCCAATTATAGATAATAATTTTTCAATGCTACTTTTAGCAGTACGCCTTAAAAGGCAGTTCTAATCTACTTAAATTTATATTTGTTTCTGTTTCAAGTAACATAGAAAGAATACTATCATATAAATCTTTTGAGATGTCACAGTAGGTACAATGTTTCTAATATTACAATATTTTGAAGTTTTATTTTTTACGATAAAATTTTTATTTATATCATCGAATTATGAAAGATGGTAGTTGGAAATAAAATTTATTGGCGAATGCACGCGTGCAGATTTTATTCTCATACTTTATAAATGATCGTTCCAAATTGGGACAAAATTCTCAATATTTTACATTCGGCTTTTTTTTTTATTGATCAGATGAGTTTAGAGGAATATTTTCTTTTTTATCTATCTAACCGAATGCTTCGAGAAACACAGATGATTTGAAAATTCGAAGATACTGAAGCACATTTCTTCAACATTAAGATATTCTCTTCTACAAGTAAGATATAAGAAATCTATATATATGAATACTTGCGATTTGTTAAAGCTATCTCCCTTGATAAGCGTTACGTTGATCTTTGCTCGCGTGCTTCGAGTATAATGCCATTTATATTTATTCGTATATTTATTCGCTACAAAATCAACTTTATGAGTCACGTGTCACGAATCTAACTCGCACGGCGAGATCATTGGTGCCTGTCATGACAAATCGATGACAAAAGTCATTTGCAAGTGCGTTGCGAGATACGGAGAAAATACCTCGCGATAAAATGGAAAAACATCACTTACATGGTATGCGGAATATGCATTTGCTCGACGCTTAAAGAAGCCTTAAAGAAAGGAACGCATTTGCTTCTGCTTTTTTTTCTTTTTTTTTCTTTTTTTTTTTGGTCAAAAACATCTTATCCGCATCGTTCTCTTATCGCGGTTTCTTCTTTGCATGACAGTGTCTTATTTGACATGCCGCCCTCCACGTGGAAGCGAACTCGCGTTGTAATTAGATCAAGTAACAGGTCTCGATCCGCCACGTGACGATCGATTACCTGGCCGATTATAATGTTCGATATCGCTGACCGACCGAATGATGACTTCGTCTAATTTGGATCTCTGGTCTATCATCGTTACATTATCTATCGCGTAATTTCGTATAATTGTAGAATAATAATTTTTTTTTGACTGTCCCATATTCTTCTATTACATCAAATTCTAATGACCAATTTGGAGTTTGAGTTAGAGAGAATCTCGAATATCATTATTTATCATTTCATTCCCTACCTTTCAACATATAGATAATTAAGATCTTAAAAAAAGATTCTATTGGATTAAAGACAATTTGATGAGAGAATCACGTTAGTACAAACGACCGTCTAACGATCGTCTTCAGCTCGTATTCTTTTCTGAATATAAACCCGACGTGTTCTTTAACTATAAATGATCTTTCGGGGTCTCGAATCTTACGTGCGACGTATCGAAACCTGGTGTCGAAGTTTTTCCGATATTTATACACGGCCGCAAGTCTACTTTGGTGGAGTCCACTTCTAAAAATACTACGAAAACCGGCGCGATCCGGTTTTCGCGAGTGCCAAGGGTTAATTGCGCTCCCAAAGCGCTTTGTTTGTTCTTGTTGCAAAAATCGTCGCTCACGTTCGACGTAACTTCGCACGCGCGTGTGCGACGGCGGTTTTACCACGGTCAAGGTGTTTCACTCTCTCTCTTTCTCTTTCTGGGAGTAGATGACGTGCGAGTGCGGCCGTTTCGCTCGCGAAGGAATAGCGCTGGCACGTGCGGTAATCCTTGAAAATCGGCGTGTTCGATTATGAAGCCGCGAATGGGCAAGCGGAGTTAGCGAGCGAGACGCATTCGTACGCCCACGCGACTTCTCATTTGCATCGAACGACGAATTACTCAGCTGCTTATCGAACGCTGCGAAATTCAACGTTCCCCCCTCTCCCCCACCCCCGGAATATTAGTTACAGACGGTAGATGTGGCATACTTCGACGTAAAAGTCTAACGTTAAATAAAGAATAGATGCCTCGAGATATTCTGCTTTTATACTCCACTTTAATCTCGTGAAACGTTTATGCTGATTCAAAGATAAAAATGTTAGAAGCTATTGTTGAAATAAGTTGGATTAAAATCGCATCGAGTTCCATCTCCAGAGAATTTTGACAGGGACAAGATGTTGCTTCTACTTTTGGATCAATCAACTTTTCTCTTGAGATATTTATTTTTAAAACAAACTCGATATCGATTACGTGTTTGCTCATAAATCTTATAGCTCTCATAAATCAAGCTGTATCTAAGTGTGTCCAAGTGTAGTCGACATTTTAGTTAAGGGAATATCGACATCACGTTGGTTGCAGAATCTATCATTAGAGCTAGGTTATTCGTATATACGCTTAATTAACGCTTTTCACTTTGGGTTAGACACGTTTTGATCTTGCGTCTAGATATTCGTGCATCGTGACATCCCGACAGTTTAATATCTTCACTCTTTAACGCACATTTTTAGCGTTATCGACAGTCTCGTGATACGCGCACGATAAACACGACAAAAATTAACTTTTTAACGACGCTATTAAAGATATAAGGTCACATTCTCAGAGATGGATAGACAGTCGCGACCTTTCCATCTTTTCTCTTTTACTTCGACAACGTATTATATCTTAAATTCCTTAATGGTACTCGACAATACGTTTACTTAATCCTCCAATTGGTACGACGGAAGTCGTACGAGATGAAATATTAATTGCTGATCGAGTAATTAAACGTCGCCGTTGCGTTGCGTTGAGGAGAATTTAATTGGTCGCGTTCGCTTTCGCGCGCGTATACACATCCCGGTAAATTTTCGGCGGTGCCTCGGCGGTGCGAACGCATTCGTGGGGCACGCTTCTTGCCAAATTGCGATCAGCTGCTTCGGCATAAATCTCCGACCGGTGTCAACGGAATACCTTCGCGCGGAATAAACACGCGCGCGCGAGAGGTATACGGAAACGGCGGGGAGACGGAGAGAAGAATTTATTGCGCGTTCCGGGATAAATCCCATAAGTGCATTAAAACGTGGGGCGAGTAGTCGGTCCGGAGTCGGTCCGGAAAAATTGCGAGTAGAGACAAAACTGCGTGGACCGCGCGGTAACGCATTAAATTTTACCACTCGCGAATTATACGTGTCTGTCGGATTTTCGTTTTCTGCACGAATGTAAATTTTTGTGATTACATTTTTTGAATCGTAAATTAACCGTAATACGAGTTTCCTATAAAGAACGTCTGTGTAAATATGCATTTCACTATTTCAGTATTTTATTATTTCCGTAGTTGTCTGTTTTCCGATGTTACACGGTTCATACCTAACTGGTCAAGGTAGAAAATGAAACCTGTCCATTAAATTAATTAAAGTGAAAAATTACATCCTCCTTGTCGGCTGTTTTCCATTTGCGTTCCTAAAATTCAAATTAGAATTATCAGTTCAATTATTAAATATTAATATATGTTGTATTATTGTATTGAAAAAAGTCATTTATTTACTCAGTTTTTACCAATCGATTTTGGGGCAACTAAAAAATATTCCTCTCCCGTGGAGCTTGTTATCTTCGTGTCGATTTGCGGTTCGTGCAGCCGAGGGAGCATCGCGATGCATCGACAACTCCCGTCAGTTGCTGGCAATAAGGCTAAAAAAAAAAAGAGAAGTATCGTGGGTCCGCGATGCGCTTCGCTTCCTCGGCGCACGAAGCTGTTTCGAAGGACAATCGAACGGGGTCAAAAGTCCTCGCGTTGCTACGCGAAACGTTACGAGAAGCCATGGAAACGAGTCGGTTGCGCAAGCGCCTCGCATTTTCCCTCCCCGCATTCTCCCCTCACGGTCCTTCCTCTCTTTCGATTTTCCGCGATTTCCGGCTGAGCAAGTCGCGAGTTTTCCCACTTCTCGGCCTTTCAAATCGAAATTGACGTTGCCCTCTTCTCGTCCCGATGCGTAACGCACTCCACCCGACATTTCTGTGCTCGTCGATACGACGAACGTTAATTTGCGTATCGCGTTATGATGACCTCGGTGTATCGTTATACCTCGTTTATATGTCATGCTTTTTATTATTGGAATTTTCATTTTTAATGTGAACTTTATCCATGTGAGACTATGTCTCTCTATTTTGAACATGAGCATGTATGTAATTTAGAAAAAGAAAAAGAAACATTAGTTGAACGCACATGCTATCTTTCACGTTTTTAAATCGATAACTATAAAATAATGAGATTCAGAAACATTTAAAGACAGCATGTATCAAATGGAATTCTTAAAAAATAATTAGCAAAAAATGAACAAAATCTCTTGATGATCAGAAATCGATAGTCTATCGAATTAGAATGTGGTCCACTCGTTTATTGTTATTTTTTATTTACGTAAATGTTATCACTCACATTTTTATGGTATATTTGATGCTAAGTGCATGTGACTTTTATATTTAACATTTATTAGCCGCAAATACGCTAAAT